CTCACAATGATGTTATGGGGTACAGATCAATGTTTGATCACATTCAAGCTAATCAGGTAACTCTTCATATTTATTTTCTTATCTTTTACACATCATCTTAAGTAACAAAGTTAAATATATTTGTAATTTTTATGGGCGTCATATCAAGACTTGCAGACATCAATACTCATGGAAGTATATAGAGATGTCCAACTATGGACTTCATGTACTGCCATCCTTTGTCTTGCAATTGTTGAATGGCACCAAACAGATAGAGTCATACAGTTTCGTCTAATCCAAGAAGTCCCTTCTCCACCTAATAATTTGAATGACCTTCACAAAATTGACATGAGAGGAAGACATGATGAAAATTGGGTTACAAAACATTCTCAAAGGATCGAGATATGGAACAACATATGTGAGCTGACAATAACAAGTCATCCAATGCAAGGCCCATTGTGTCACACATAAGAATACATGGAATGGTACATTGTCAATTCTATCTATTTTCTATTTGTGCCACCACTACTACAAGATCTAAGAAGGAGCGACCAACAACTAAGGACTACTAACATATTTGAAACGGGTACGACTTCCACAACGTCGTACCATGAGACTGCATTAATTCCTCTGAACATTACGCCAGAAGCAAACATAATTAACACAAGACATTCGTTTGTAACAACATCGAAAGATTTTTTTACAAACTTATTTGGAGTTAATTTTACAACGCTATCTTCAGCACAAACTTACATGCAGTCTCTTTACCAACCGGATTTTGCTAATGAACCTGGTGATTCATCAAATGCATTCCAACAACTAGACCTTCATGATGATCAAAATCTTTCACAAGTTCATCCTGAAATTCTAGAGCAACAACTATAACACCTTATGTTTAATTTCAATAAATCATAATTTTACAAATTCAGAATAAAATAAATTTCATTTCAAATATTTTAAAATAAGGAAAGGGGTTAAAATTTCTATCAAGTTACTACTACAGGACCCATTTAAATACATTAGTTTCAAATTAACTAGTACAGAATTCACATCACATATCTTATCAATTTCCTATCTTCTAACTCAGCCACATCATAACATTCCACAGAATAATAGCAAATTATACATAAAAGAGTAGGGTAGAGTCCCCCCTTACCTCGAATTGAAGACCCACGCTCAAAGTCGACCACGGGAGTGTTCCCCACACAAATCTCGACCTAAACACAGGGTTAGTTTTCATGAGAACCCCAGAAATCACCCAAAATCAGAGAGAGGGAAGGAAAATTGAAACTCTAACCATTAAAATTCACATCCAAGCATTCTCCACACGGATTCAACATTCAATCAAGTTCCCGAATGACTTTGGAGGCAATTTAATCGGTGGAAAAGGCTTTGGGCATGAGAGGATCGAAGGAAAAGGGAGGAATAACTCCCTCCGAATCCGAACCCTCTTTAAATCCCTTTTTGGTGGTGACACTCTCGCTACAATGACGTCAAATAGAATGTGAACATTTGTGGGAGCTTACTTCGTTGCTGAACAACACCCCTTAGGCTTGGACATGGGTTTGAAGACATGGGCTTTGGAATAGAGAGATTGCGTTGGGATTTCCCTAGAATGGTGGAGGGCAATAACATTAGGGTTCATTTAGTGGAAGGGCAATGTTAAATGTTTTAATTTAATATAAAGTTGAGCTATAATTCCAAATTCTTATGGCGCGCTGGTGTATCTTTTTCAAGGGTGTGTTAATAGATGATGGGTGAGGGTAGTGGTAGAGGTTAGGGGTGGGGGAGGTGGGGCTGCGGGAGAGGAGTTGATTGAAGAAGAAGAATTAAGCTCAAGTCTTCCCTTCGTGTTTTTCATGCTTTCTCTTTGTAAATAGAACTAGAATGTACCCCAAATATCGAGTCTTAAATAAGCTTATCATTTTTTTTCGCTCAACAAAAGAACTCATTCGTTGTGATTATAATATTATATATAAAGCCAAGTAATGGCTTTGGGCCCTTTCAGTATTGACCTTATGAAGATCTTGCTTTGCAGCGGCGGTGGGCGATGGATTCATAGCCCAAGACATTTGGTTCCAAAACACAGCAGGGCCATAGAAGCACCAGGCAGGACCAGTCCAACCTTTTTACGAAACATCAAATTTGGGACTTAGTTGTGTAAGGAATCCAATTAATAATGAGGGAGAGGAAGGGGGAGGGGGGAGTGGGGAGGGGATGGGAGGGACTGTCGTAAAGAAAGAAAGAAAATTAGAAGAACTTGTATGTAATTATATAAAATAAGTTTAGGAGTTTATTAGTAAATTTTAATTTTAAATAAAAATAATAATTAATTAATGATGTGGCATGCCACGTAAGGTCTTAAGATAGTTATGTGGCATCATGTGGAGAGCAGGTTGGCTTAGCACTTAACAGAAAGGGGTTAACAATAGGGATCATTTCCTAATTTTCTACTTTAGAATGACCACTTCCTAACAAAAATATTTGTAGGGACTAATCACAAAAATGCCTATATTTATAGGGATCAAAAACATAATTAAGTCTTTCTTTTATTACTTATAAGGTAACAATATTGTATTAGTTTATTTCGTAACATGAAAAGTTATAATAAAAATTTTGTTACTATAATTGTCTCATTTTTTCTAATCTAGACTAATTAATTTTATTGCATTAATTAGGCTTCAAAGGTCTTAAAATTGAAGTCACTACAAAAAGAGTAAAAGAGTATGTTGGCCTTCAAATTTTTTTCTCCTTAAATTTTTGGATCCAGCCTATCCTATCATAGTCTAATCTTTTATTGTTCCTTCTAGCATGATTTTTTTCAAAAAAAAAAATTACTCAAATTGTGAAAGTTTTATGATTAAAATTCTTACAGATATCAAACAGCAGATTGGAGATTGCGTCCGATTCCTGATGAGATGTTAAGGTATAAATATAACATGAACTTATCAAATTTGATCTCTCCTAAATTCTTTCTTTGTTTTAGCTTATATTTTACTATTATTATATATTAATTTTGTTTTATTATTTGAGTTTGGTTTATATTTATCCTTACAAATATTTTGTCATAATCATACTAATTACTTCCGTCTTTTTAATTACTTTTCTAATAACAGATAATGCAAAGAAAATACACATTATTTGCTATACATATATGATTTAATGAGAATTGAGTTATTTGCCTTGCCTAGAGAGCCTGAAAGCATTGATACACCTTTAATGGAGGTAATTTTATTTTCATACATATTAATTATTTTAATTGTTTAAACTTCTACTCTTGTATTCTTGCAAGATTAGACAAGTTTGACCTTTTTCCCTATACATATTAAGTATTTATTAAATCTTTAATTAATTAACATATAACATGATGAACAATTAATTCATAAATACTTTTTTTTTATCATATGACTGATTTTCTTTTAACCATCAGGTCTACAAGCAAAGTTATAACGTTTGCATGCATCTATATGAAAAAAAAGTTCTACCAGAGTATTCTTACCTTCTTCATCTGTATGGGTATGTTACATTTTCAAGTGGGGTTTTTATTAATTTAGTATTTAATACAAATAGCAAGTTTTCTAAACCTTTTTTATTTTTTGTTTTATTTATTTATTGATTTGTTGTCTCTTTTATAGGAATATGATGTAAATTTTATTTTGCTTATAATGTCTTTAAAATAGAGTAAAATAAAATCCAATTACTATTTTGCAAAAGGTTGCAAGAGGCAGATTCTAATGCTAAACAGCTTGCCATTGTGTCGGTAAGTGACTCTTTAATTTCTTGTTTATAGAACTAAAAGATAATATTGACATATTACATATTTATATTGCATTTAATTTGAATTTTCCTATTCTCAATTTTCAATATCTATTATAATTCATGGTTCTATTTACATTGCTTTCAGGCTCTATTACGTCTAAAAGATGAGAGTACTGGATATATACTACCAAATAAACTTGTTCTTGAAATTGGTAAATAATATGTTTTTCAATAGTTAGAAATTTTTTGTTTAAATATTAACAATTTAATTATATAATATATGTTAATTTAAACTTTTTTTTCTTTTCAGCTAAGCATATGCCAATCACTACAAGCAAGCTATCCATGTTGTTGAAGTCAAACTACCCTTATCTTGACAACAATCTTGATGTTATCGTCAACATAATTTGTTACGCTATTGAAAATGCTGCTGCATTTGAAGAAGTTGCTAGTCTATTGAAAGAAGGAGCTGATATTGCTTCCATTAAGGAAGTAACTCAACAATTGAATAATGACACAGTTAAATATGAATGTTTAAGCATGAATTTGTCTATTTTATGTCTAGATATTGTTATACTTATAAAGATATCTATAAACTTGTATGATAGTGAATTGATTATATGATAATAATATTTTTTAAATTTATTTTCTCAACAATATTTATAACTATCTTATTAATTAGTATCACAGATTAAAACTTTTTATATTATACGTGAAAAATATTAATCTATTTCGTCATTAGAACTTTTATACTTAAATGCCTCGCCAATCCAATCATCAATCCAATTTTAAAAACATTACAAAAGATTGGCAACTTGAAAATCACAATATATTGTCAAATGGCCTAACAAATAGCATTTCAGAATTTCTAATGATAAAATGATTATGTTTTCCTAATATCTCTTCACCAAGATTTGTAAAACTTAATAATTCTTGCAAGTCATGCAACTAGATGAAACCTCTAAAGGCCAGATAACTTCAGATATTACATGAAAAATATATATATATAATGAAATGTCCATCGAGTTCCAAATACACGTAAAAATAACTGCATTTGCGCTTCCATCCACCAGAAGGTAGAATTCAGTCAAAAGTTTTTATATAGTCTACAAGAAAAATAAAAGCACAGAGTGTGCCCAATTTTACACATATTTTACTTCTACACTGAGCTTCCCAATATGTAGTTGGAATTAGCTTACACTTTCACAGAACCATTCTACAATTTTTTTAAATCGCAGATTGTAAACACTAGAATGAGAACATTATGTTGGAACAAGAAAATGGCCTTCTTCTTGACTATTGATCCATAGTAAAGGAGTAGCCATCGCGAGAAAAACAAAAGAAAGGCCACAAACAAATTTACGTTTAATCTTTTGAAGTGGCTTTTTAATGAGAACCGTCTGAGTAACATATCTACTTTCAGGAACCATCTCTACAAGCCTCTGCATATCAGCATCCCCAGGAAGGTCATCTGTTGATGAGACTGACTCTGCTCCACCTTGGAACTGAACATCACCATATAAGCTTCCATTCTCTTTAGAATCATACTTAGCATTATGTGCAGTGCCATTCTGATCATATTGAGAATTAGAATAAGATGCTGGGCTCCACTCAATATTGCCTGATGATAGACTCTTGATCATTCTATTTGGTTTTTCAGAATAATCTGAGCTCTCATCATTTGGGTCTTGAAGAGAGTGAATAAGCTTCCTAGGAGTCTTAAAGATTTTGATGCTGTCAACATTAACTTCCAGGCGTGATCTCTGTGTACAGGAGAGATGATTAAACTCGTTAGAATAAAGGAACTTTGTGATTTTAGTCACAAACATGCCAGCTTAGGAAATCATTGAAGTTTCAATTAACAAAAGAAGTTATTTGACTTGATGTACTGCCATAAAATCAGCAGCTTTATAGTCCACTAAAAATAAGTTTGCTTATAGTTTGAACTGATGTGTATCACAGAAAAAACTTATGCTAAAGTAATGAAGCATTCATGTTTGTGCACATATGGTGCATAAAAAGTTAAAAACCCCATGCTAAGTAAATGTAAGGTAGAAATAAAATTGTATTTGAGTAAATGAAATAGTATATCATGATCAAAACTATGTTCTTTGTGCTTTCCTATTTTTTGTTGTCTTTTCTTCCTTCAACAATACCATTGTTGTTAATCATTATTTATTTATTTTTCTTCATTAAGCTTACTTCAAAGATACTACTAACAAATATATGTAAAAGGATTTGATGAGAAAATGAATAACAGTTTGAATTAATTATAAAACTGCAAGGACATGTAATAATAATTACAGGGAAACAACACAATAGTAGAAATCATTGAGATAAAAATCTTAGACTTGAAAATTCTAACTAGTGGAAAACTAATAGATCATAGAAGTGCTAAAAGTGATGAAGTGTAGTACAAAGGATAAAGGGAATTTGGAAATGGAAAAAAAAAGCTTGAGTCTATAATACAATTGGGAATTGGTTATACAATGTGACATGCAACTGATACAACCATTTCATGTTAACAGGGGAGGGGAAGGAAGGAACAACTTTGGAAATGCACATTTGTAGATTTTAAGTTATGAAGTGAGAGGGCAGTAAAGCTGTCTCTATAGCAAATGCAACTTCATTCCCAGAACTTCAACAAAATGTCTAACATTGGATACACTTACTAGGGGACTTGTGCAGGCACTTCTGGATACTCCTTGCCAAGGACTTCTGTGCAGGAAACCACCAAATTCCTCAGTCAAATCATCCCCTCCATTAGAAAACTCAAGATCCACAGTGTGGTCCAACAAGGCACTTCCCTGTCCTGCCTTGGAGAACAAACCATCCTTGAGAGACACATCAACCCCTCCATTTTCATGACTCCAAAGCTTCCTATTCACACTCCTTCGCTCGTAGAAGTTCTGGGAAGGCTGACTTGTTGAAATGGGAGACTCAACAAGGGATTCATATCCGTGGAAAAAGTCTAAGGTACGCGACTCAGGAGAAACAGATGTAGGAGAACGGTCTCCATCACCAGAAAAACTTTCTCCCTCCATATAGTCTTTCCTACTGAAATTTGATCCTGTCACAGAACCGGGACTTTTCACACATCTTGCATTTTTATCAATGGCAATTCTCTTAGCAATTTGCAAGGCCTCAAATGCAGCACCTTTGACATATGCCATTTTGTCTGACTGACACAGTTCCATCACCTCAATTATCTGCTCAACCTCTGAAAAAATGCTCCTAGGATCTAAGCACTTCATCAAGAAGTTCATCATTTGAATGGCTACAAATCGCTTCTGAGAATTCCCCTCCAAAACATCACCGCCAGCATTTAGTATTCGCAGTCCAGATTGTATGAGCAATCTAGCATAGGCTTCAACAATCAAAGCATTGCGCTTCGCCAGGGCCATAACCAGACCCATGTGTGAATTAGTCTGAGTGGACTTTCCCTCCAACGCCACAGCAACATTCTGGCAAACCCTGTTGACCATTTCATCTGAGGCGAAACGCCAGTTATCCGAATCCACAAGAGCTTTCAAGCAAAGGGCCGCACCGCAAGTCAAACTCTCTTGAGAACTAGAGAGAGAATCAGAGAGAGGCTTACAAAGAGAGTGAATTATATGCCTCTTCTTCTCTTCAGGGGTTGTGGGGTCAATTCCATATCTTGCTATAGCTGGAACCACCTTTGAGCAAGCCTGCTGAAGAGGGAATGACCCTGCACTTGAAGCTAAAGTCTGAACTATGGACTGCATAATGCTGTCTATCATGGGAACAATCTTCACTCCATGAACTCGAGCAAGAACCTCATACAGTGAAATTGTGAATTCTCCAGACAAAGTACCAGTTTCCTTAGTCTCAGAAACTTGTGCAAGAAAGATAGGAATTGTCTTCATGTCTAAATCTTTCACATATGACTTCAATGCTCTCATTGCAGATTTGCGAGAATCTGCATCCTTATCAAGATTTTGGATCTCTCTTTGTAGCACTGGACTCAGACTCCTTCTCATTGTGATTCTGGAGCTAAAACCAAAACCAAGCACCATAAGCAAAAATAACAATGAAATACTAAGCACAATGTGCAAATGCATAAAAAGATAGATCAAAGTTTTGATATTCCATTGCAGAACCACCCCCCCCCCAATTAACTTCTACTACAAATTCGAAGTTCATAGCATTTTCAGGCAAAATGAATAAAGGATTAATCTTGTAAACGGGAGAAATGAAAAATTGAATAAAGAAAATAAAAAAAAAGCAAATTATTTGAATTAAAGTTAGTTCATAGCTCAAAATTACTAATCTTGCAAATGGGACAATTGAAATATTCAAAATTGAATGAAAAACAAAAAAAAGAAAATTATTTGAATTAAAGTTTATATCACAAAGTAACTAATATTGCAAAAAGGTTGAAAATTTTACGATATTTTGAAAAACATGTGGCTGCAAACTCAATTGCCCCCTTTCCGATCTTGAATCTTCACCAATCAAATAAAAGAAAAAAAAACTTTTGGGCCATTAACAAAAACAGTAGAAAGTATTATCCAAATAATAATAACAGCATAAAGGAACAAAATGGAAGCACATTAAGGAGTGTTTTCAGCTCCTAATCGTAAATCAAACACTACAGAAAAAAAAAAAAAAAAGGTTAAACTCAGTAAAAAAACAGAAAAAGCACCTTTATATGTGTAAGAATGAAGGACGATGTTGAAGGTGAGTTGTGCAATTGTGGGTAACACTTAGAAGCAAGGAAGAGCAAGAGAGAAATTAGGTGTATGGTGGAGAGAGAATGAGAGACAATGTCTCTGATTTTTAGGGATTGTGTAATACGAGCTATGTGTGTGTTTGAATTTCCATTTCTGGCTTAACGTTGTTGGATTGTGTCGTTCGTTTGAATCATTGAAATTTTGAGTTGCTTTCTTTTTCAAAACTCTTTTGTCCAAATTCCACCGCTATCCTTTCTGTGTGTGGGTCCTACCATATTTTTAGAGACTAAAAACCCCTTGTTGGACCAAAATACCCTCCTCCAATGTTTTTAACTTTCTATTTTATTTATTTTTTGTTAAATTATAAATTTAGTTTGTGCAAGCGACACACTTTTTTAATTTGGTTCTTATACTTAAAGAGTATAAAATTTGGTTTCTATTTTACAATTTATATTAATTTTAGTGACAACGTGACTTTATAAGGTAAGAGACTAAATTGTACAATTTTTTAAATATAGAAATCAAATTGAAAAAGCATCTTAGATACAGGGATTAAATTTATAATTTAAAATTTTTAATATTTAAAATGAAGAAAATTATAAAAATATTTTAGCTAAAAGTTATGGTAAATTAGTATAATATATAATTTATAAATAAGTTATTATGACTGTAGACGTATTCTTTTTATATATTTTAGGTTAAATGTTATTAAATAAATTAATTTTTATGTCTATTAAATTGTGTTGATAAATATTAATTAATAAAAAAAAGTAATTATTAATTTATTAATGTTAAATAAAATTTATTTTATTGAATATTTTGTTAAAAATAATTAATAAATATTATTTAATGAAATTTTAATTAATAATTGCCTAAACAAATTTTTTTGAATTATAATATATTTTATTTAAAATATTTTGCAAAGAAATGACTAATAATTGATCAAATAAATATATTTGAATCTATTATATATTTTTTTAAAATTATAATTAATAAATAAAAAATAATAAATTTTTATTCAAAGTATAAAATAATTTATAATATATTTTATTAATAAAAGAATTAATACAGACTTTTTATTGATTGGAATTGTAATTAAAAATTGATTAGAGTAAGTTATTTGAATGTATAATATATTTTATTAAAACAATATTTAGTAATGTATAATATAATTTATTAATAAAAACACTAATGCAGGATTTTAATAAAAATGTAATTAATAATTAATTAAAGTAATTTATTTGAATGCATAATATATTTTATTAATAAAAGAATTAAAAATAATATTTAATAAGAAAGTAATTAATAATTGATTAAACAAATATATTTGAATGTATACTTTTTAAAATATATATATATATATATATATATATATATATCATACAGAATATTTAAATTAAAACAACTTAGTAATTTATTTAAATAATATTGTAATGCTTTTTATTTTATGAATAAAATATTTAAAAAATTTACTTTGAAGCAAAAAGATCTTTCCCAGAGAGGATAGCAGCAACAGCTCCAACGGTAAGGCCAAAGCTGATGCAGTTGTACTGAAATACAATAAAATGCAAGATTCAAAAATTAAGGCACTACCAGATCTGACACTGAAAAATAAGTGAAGAATAACAGGCATAGAACATAAGAATGTTCCAGTAAAACCTAAAAATGACCATGATCAATTAAGAATATAAGGCAATGTGCCATGCTAATTCACTTTTATTGCTCCTTGAAGGTTGATTGTCATGAACAATAACAAAGTACAGGACAGCTGGAAAGAATATCAGGACATCAGATGATAACACTGTCCACCTCATGAGTAGTTTTCTGCAGAAGTAAACTACAGTTAAAAACACTAATAAAAGTAGCAAAGTTTTAGTTCGTTTCAGTAGAAGGACTAACAAACAAATTTGAATAATTCAAACACTGAATAGTATGCATGATTTGAAAAGTGGCACTGAAATACCATTTCACTGTTCACAGAATATGTTGAATTACGAATGGAAAATGAGTAAAGTGCACACCCAAGAGATGACTCAAGACCTCTGGAAGGGAGAAGGGAAACAGAATCAGGGTGGAAGAATATTGAGGAATAGCCCATGAATGTAGCTCTGGTAATGGTAAACACTAAGAGGCGGGTAGTCAAGTGACCAAAAGTTAACATCCTAAAATTTTACTCCTATTAAAGTTACTAATTATATCAATTTAAATAAATTAAAATTAGATCATCTATTAAAAATTAAAATATATTTAATGAAATTTACTAAAAAAAAAGACAAATTAAAAAATATAATTATAAGATAACTCAATTTTAATAAAAATAATTATTAAATTTTTTTTAAATAATTTTAAACCATCTAAATTATAAATTACAAAAGTTATAATCAATTGAAAGAAAATAAAAATTAAAAATTAAAAATAAGTTACAAAATTGGTTTAAAAAGACTAAAATACTCTTAAAATAGGCTTAGAATGATTATTTAAATTGGACAAATAAATAATCATAGAAATTTCTAAAATTTGGACCAAATGAGGTTATAGTTATTCAAGAATTGAGTCCAAACCTCAAATAAAAAATTTAAACTAATGAAAGGATCAAGACAAATGGAGTAAAACTTCTAATTTTTTAATCTTATCTCATCCAATCTAATTGACACAGTTTTGGATATAAAAAGAGAACTCAATTTATCAATAATTGGACAAAGAATTAGCTGAAATAAAGTAAAACAATAACAAGGAAGACTTAATTTACTAAAACTCTTTAAAAATGACAGAGTCAATAGTTCAATCTCTAACTAAGAAATCTAACCAAATACTAACCAAATTCAGCTAAAAATAGTGTTATGTGAGAAAAAATAATTAAAATGAGTAACCAAGAACTAAAATAGCACACTTAGGCAAACTAGATGACATCATAAGGGTAAATATCTACTTTAAGCATGATTATTAGAGATTGCTTTTTACCATGATAAAATCTGAATTTAGAAAAGGTTTCAACAGCAAAGCTACTCCAATCAAACCCCTCCACGTGGTGGTAAACTTCCTACCCCATAAAAGCCAAAAAAAATTAAAAACATCTCCCAAAGACAAAGCCAATTTCACATGTAAAATGAAGTAAACTTGAAGATTTAGCCAAAATTTCTAAATCCAGCCAAACCAAGCTCTTTTAAACATTTGACCACATCCAACACATACCAAAAATAAACTCCACCACTCAACAATATTACTCTCCAAGCTAACTAAGTAGGAAAAACTCCAAAAGCACTAACAACCTTACCACCAAATTAAGTAAAATAACTCAAACATTTAAGGACTTTTTTGGGCACTCTCAAAACTGACTTGGAAAGGTAGTAAAGAAGCTCAAACCGGACCAAGTGAAAGTGAAGAAAGAAGAGATCAACACATCTTTGCAACCACACTCAAGAAGACAAGACAAAATCAAGTAAGGAAGGGGAGTATAGTTCACAAATTACGAAAATAATTTTGCTATTTAATTTTTTTAGTGAAGGGAATCCCTTAACCTTTGTATTAAATGAAAATTTTATAGTTATAATTGATATATGAAAATAAAATTGATTGGAATAAGAAAATCTAAGGAAATCATTAAAAATGGCAAAAACATAAAATTTTGCAGAAAAATCTTAACAAATTGTAAATGAGTATTTTGAGAGAATTTTGTTGATGACTTTCTTTATTATGCATTATTATTATCATGCTATTATAATGATTATATGTGAATCCATATATTAAAATTGTTTAAACATTCTTTTAAAATTTTCTAAAAAATCAAGTGTTTTCTTTCATAAAATGTCTGTTATTTCTATAAATATCCTTTTTCATGCATGATTTGAGTTGTAATTTTTTTTTTTATCACTATATGGCATAAATACACTAACTTTAATTAAAAATTCATGATTAGACCTAGGTAGAGCATAAAAAAAAATCATAAATTTTTAATAGAATTTACTGTTGTGAGATAGTTATAACTATTTTTGTATTATTTTTAATTTTAGAAAATTCAAAAAATTACAAAAAATTTTCTAGAGTATCAAAACATATTATTTTATTATTCTAGAGATCTTGGATTTATTTTAAATTTAAATGTATTTTTGAAGATTTTGGGTAAAAGAGCTAAAAGAAAATGATCTAAAATTGGAAAATAACTAAGAAATAATTTTGGACTCAAGGACATTTTTGGAACCTCTAGAGTATGAGATACATATGAATTTGACTAATTTATTGAATTAAATTTGAAAGATTGGACCTTTAAATAAGAAAATATCATGATTGGATCATAAATAGGCTTTTCAAAAAAATTTAAAATAATTAATCACATGAGTGGTAGGACTAAAAGAATATTTTTGACCATATTAAAACTTGGACAATGACTTAGAGGTAAGGAAAAAATATGCTGCACAACTTGAATTCATCAAGTTTGGTTAAAGGACCTCTTTGCAATTAACATATAGTAAAAGGATTAAAGTGCAAATAATGTAAAATATAAGACAACCTTTGCAACAAAAAAAAGTATTTTATTCATATAAACAGTTATATTGTAAAAAAAATTCCACTGGTTTTACTTTATTTAGATTTAAATTAAATTAGTTATGATTTTTCTAAGTTTCTGCTACATGAAAATAATATTTTGAGAGCAATATGCCTTGATTCAATTTTGTTTTAATATATATGTAGAGTTATTTTATATTTATTTTTATATTAAAATATACTTCTTAATAGAATGTTTCTCACTAATTTCACTTGATTTAGATTTGAAACAAAATATATATGAATTTTTTAATACTATAATGTGTGTAAATGATTTCCTGAGAATAACTCACTTTAAAATCTTTTCGTCTTAAAATTTATGCATGATATTATTTTATTTATATTTTTTTTCAAAAATTATACTTCATAAAGAAATTATGGTCACTGAGTTTGCTTAAATTGGAGTTAAAATAAAATACTTATGATTTTTCTAATATGTTGTTGCTGAATTATGCTAACCTATGACATATACTGATGAATTAAAGCATGAATTGATCTCTATAAATAATTTTATTTTGAATATATTTTTACTTAAAAATAGACATAATAAGGAGAATAACCTTACTAATCTCATTTTTTGGATGAGAATTGAATTTATTAGAAAGTTTACAATTACTAGAGTTTGGAAATGACATCATGTGAACAACAGAAAGAAATTAGGTTAAGTGTTACTTTCTGTGTGTTTTTTTATTTTTTGCAAAGAAGATACTTAAAGAAAGAGAATCTTATTGACTTTATGATTTTTGAAGATATAATGATTTAGTTACAAAATTTTCATTATTTTGGTGTTGGAAATGTTATTTTAGGAACAATAGAGGAAAACTAAGTTACAAAGGGCTCTCTATAACAATGATTTATGTTTTTATTTTTATATGAAATTACACATGTAAATAAAACCCAAATGATTTCATGATTTTTAGATTTGTATTAAATTAATTATGAATTTTATAAGTTGGTGCATGAAATCTAGAAAAATCTGAAAATAGTCATGTCCATAAAATGAATGATTATCTTTGTTTTGAGGGATGAATGATTATGATAGATATGTATCCAATGGATAAATTAATGGCTAAAATTTGTGTTGTGATTGCAAAATAATTCATAAAGATAAAGGTTGAAAATGCCAAGTATAGGTGAGAGACAAATAGTGTTGGTTTTAACATAAGGAATAGCAAAGTACCTAAGTCCTAACAAGAGACTAAACCTAGCTAATTTGTGTTATAGACAGTGAAAAATAGTGTGAAACACTAGGAGTGACCATAACATATTTTGAGCACTATTACTCGGTTCCTTGTTTGGGATATTGTACTTATGACACTATCTAAATTGCGGGCACGAAACTTCTAATCTTCAATCCAGAAATTAAGTAGAGAATTAATTATTCCATAAAAAAAGAATAATATATATAAAATACTCTGAGATGGTTTTTTTGAATTTATTAGTGATTATATTTATTAAGCAATTAGTATTGCCTTATGAAATAATTTGAGATGAGCTAGATGACTAGAAAAGAGTGATATGCTCGAAAAAAAAAAAAAACAAGGAGGGTATATGTAAATTATAAGTGCTTAGGATCTTTCCACCTAACCTTAATTTTCCTTTGATTTGCAATATACTTGAATAACCTAGGAAAAATAGGAAGTATGTATTATATTATCTACTGTTGAACAATTACTTTGTATGTATGCTGATATATATTATGTGTGGGATATATGCCTTCATTTATTTATTTAGCAATTTTAATTTATTAGAGTATCTAAGTATGATATAGTAACATAATAATTGGAACGTTCCATAAATCATTGCTTGAGCTTAAAATTTTGACTCGACTTTTTAGCAACCCATTTAAAATGGCTATTCTATTTAATCCTAACTTGGACGACCCATAAATAAAGTGAGCTAGAGTACTCAAGAATGGGGATAATTCATGAATCATTTCCTCTTGATGTATTACAACTTAAATAGTTTATCTATTTTGAGTTTTTGATCTTCGAAGGCAAAACAAATTATACCAAAATATCATAATAATATAAATTTTAAATAATTTACATTATAATGAGACAAATGAAAGAATTACAAATTTTTTCTTGAAAAAACTAACATCAAAATGATACACGTGACAACACCTTATTTGTTGCTCCAAATCAACTAACGTCATTAAATCAGAAGTTGACATATATTGCACATGTACAGGTGGGACAAACATCACTAACTCTATGCATGACATGTGTCACACATGCACTATTGTTCTAATTAGAGAGACACTATTCTTGTAGTTGTGCCATGTGTCCCATGCAAATGAAATAATTCTTTATATAGTCTGTTAGTAAAGAACTTAGTGAAATTAAAAAAGGAATAATAAATAATTTTCTTTTACTAATTTTGTAAAGCAAGTTGTGCACCAACAATCAGAGGGGCCAACATTGACAAAGAAAAAATTTACATGTGTATATATATATATATATATATATATGTTTTAATTTTTTCAATTATTATTTGACTACATAGTTATTTTGTATTAAAAAAATAAATATTTATCTAATTTATTTAGCAATTTTTTATTAGTTACAATAGTTTATTTTTTGAAATAAAATAGAAAAAATTATGTTGTTTATTTTTTTAATTATAGTTTGGTCAGTCAAAATTATTAATTCTGTAGTTAATTTATAAAAATTTAAAAATCTATAGTTAGGTTAATAAAAAGTAAAAAATATATAGTATGAATTTTGAAATGTTAGGATAAGAATTTGAAATATATATAAAATTTATTTAACTTAATAATATTTGAATAAATAAATAATGTTATATTTATATTTTAAATTAGTAGTAAAATATGATTTTAAAAAAATATTAAAATATTTATTTGAAACAATTAAAGTAAAATTAAAAAAATATTATTTTTGGAACAAAAGTTATAAAGTTTAGTTTAGTTAATATAATTTTAAAAATGTATAGTAATATTTTTATATGATATAATTTTAAATAAGTGAATAAGTATATTAAATTTAGAAAAATGATGAATTTATTAAAATAATAAATTAAGAAAATTAGCATATTAAATTATGTATAATGAGTAAAATAATTTTTAATGTTGTTATAGTTTGTAAATATATACTTGAAAAATAATATTTTAAATATTATATTATGTTTAGTAAGATAATTTAATTACAGAAAATAATAGAAATAAAATAAAATTATAAATTATATTTAGTTGAATTAATAAAATTAATATTATTGTTCTGTTAATTTAAATTAGTTATTTTTATATTATGTTTAATTATAAAACTTGAGAATAAAAAAATGTTAAAATGATTATTATAGTTAACAATTATAATATTATGTTAATTAATTTATTTATTAAACTTAGAAGGTATATTATATTTAGGTAGATAAAAATATTTGTAAAAAATGATATAAATTAACTTACTGCAATATTTTTATGATAATTAGTATTTTAATATTAATATAACACATCACTATATTTATTTTATATATACAGAGAGAGAAACATGATATCCTACTATAGTCGTTGTAATACAAATTAATTAAGTACTTATATTTAATTAATAATTTAGCATGATTAATTTGTTAAGTTGAATTTACTATGTTATTTTATATGTTATAATAATAACAAATTTAGTTATTTTAATAGTTTGTAAATATATTTATTTGTATAATTAATTTTTAATGTAATTTTTTATTATTTAATTAACTTATTAAATATTATGATATTTTAACATGAATGACTTCATAACATATAACTCAAATATTGTCATTGATAATTATTGCATAAAAGTATTTATTATACATTAAAATTTATTAATTTACATTTAAAATAATTTTATTATTTTTTAATTTTATTTTAAATTAATTTTTTTAAATCATCAAAATTAATATTATAATTTATTTGTAAAAATTTTTATTTTCTTCAAACATTAAATTTTACTTTTTTCATAAAATTTAGTATTTAAATACATAATTATAAATTTTAATTCATCTTTTAAATACTATTTAATTAAAATACATTAATAATTAATATATTCAAGTAAATGCATTCAATTAAATTAAAATATTTCAAAAATTACCCACAATAATATTTGATGTTAATTAACAATAATAAAAAGAACATTTAATAAAAAATGAAATTTGAAAAAAAAATAAAATTCATGACGTGTGTCACCTGAAGCCTATTAGTTATGAGTTTTCATTTTATGATACTGTGTTTCATCCTGTAAATTGTTTGAAAATTACGGTATTTTTTGTAATTTTATTTACTGCAAAGGTCAAACAGCCCCCTCCGCTAACACCACCATCTGAAACACAATTTTCAACCTCAAAAGCGAAGAAGGCTTTCGTAAGTTAACCCTAAATTCAACAATTTCTTTTACTTTTACTATTAATCTTCCTAATAATTCCACCAGGGTGCTTTCAGTTTTCTTTTACTGTCATCTTCTGGTCTTTGTTTCTCGGGGTGAGTGTGGAGAAAATGAAGGGGAATGAATTGATTGGTGTTTTTGATTTGTTTTTTTGATCGAAAATGTGGTTTTTTTTTTTTTTTTTTTTTTTTTTTTTTTTGCTTTTGATTTTCTAAGGAGGGGATATCTTGCTGTTAATGCTTTTTCTCAGCCAAGCAGAGCTTTAGCTTCAGATTAATTTTCTGACTTTTTTTAATATCTAAAATTGTTTTTTGTTTTTTCGATTTTTGACTTGTGTTGGATATTAGAAATGCATCGTTTTCTTTATTAATGAACTCCTAGATATGTCAATCATAGTGTTGCATATGTTGTTTTATGGGTAATAGAATGATGTATATGGTTCTCTGTATTTGGCTTGTATGTTAGCATCAAATTTAGAAAAACTCATCTTTTAAATGGTAAGTAGAATTTTAGTCTATTCTTGTATCTGTTTTGGGAGCGAGGAGTATGTATACATCATCACTTTGTTCATTGAATTAGAAAATGGATTAAATTGAATTAGCAAGTGGATGTACATTTACTTTTGGGTGTTGTATATTTGATGATTATTTTATATAGATTCAGACTATGATTTACTTCAAACTTGAGACATGTTTAGGAATGCTGAAGATAGAGTGGAAATCAATCACCACATTTAATCTTTATGCTGTATGTGATCATTTTGTTGGTAGCTGAGAAAGTTTTTAAGATTAACATATTTTCTGGTATAATGCTTTTGGAAAGCCAACAATGCCAAAGCTTCATTAAAATAAGCTAAATAGTTTGCCAGTTGTTCATCTTAGTTCATTTTCTGACCTGGCTTTTTAGGAAGCAAGCAATGTTAAAATTAGTTTCAAATAGCCCACAAAATCTTAGCAGTTGTTTGATGTGTTCTATTATTCGTGTGGCCTGAGGTATCTTTTTGCTACCAAGGTTGCTATAATTTCATCAAAAGGTCCTTCACACATTATTCTGTTCCCATGTATAGTTTATAAACAGAGGGTTTTATGCTGGCCTCAAATGAACGTGTGGATTCATTCATTTTTATGTTTTGGTCATTGAATCATTGGTGGGCTTCACACAGTTAAAACTTAAAACATGGGAATTCTTAGCCCTGTTTGTACATTCTGTCATGCTTTTCTCTTGCCCTTATTGAAGCTGTTATGGGAAAGGAGGCATTCTGCACTTGTGCCTGCAAATTACTTCCTTGTGGTTTAGGTGCCATGCCATTTAGTGGTAACCACTCTTTGATGGAATTGGAATAAGAAAAAGGACAAAGTGTTATCCTGAACTATTTCTGATTTATTCATATTACATACTTGGATAAATAAAATTATTTCACTTAACTTTTTTATGCTTATTTTACTTAAATTTAATCTTGACCTTCTATTATAATTATATGCTCTCATGAGTCTCATCTCTAACATGATTCATGCTTATAATTCAGATGCTTTGAATAATATGTAAAGGCTACTGTATGAGCATATAATGTGATGTTGGTATTGGACTTCTGGTATCTGCAATTCTTGTTCTGCTTAGTAGCTTCATCATTCGATTAAATATATTTATTTGTGTGTATGTATTAGTTACTGATTGAATTGTTGAAGAATAGTTTGAATAATATACAATAAATTCATCTTTTAATTTTTTAATAGTTACTAATTGGACTGTTCAGGAATAGTTGAATAATACACAATGGCTGATGGGTCTTCTTTTTCTTTTGAATTTTCATTTAGTTTAAGGAATCAACGTGGTGAATGAAATCGAGTTGATTTTGCTAAAATGGGGAAGGGAAGGAAGGTGAAGGAAACTGCAAGTGATGATGATTGTTGGTGGTGGTTGGTTCAGCAAGGAAAAGCAGCAATATTCATCACTATTGGGATGTTTGCATTGTTGGTCCGTGTGGCTGTGTCACTGCACCATTACTCTGGTGCTGGTAACCCTCCAAAGTTTGGGGACTATGAGGCACAGAGGCATTGGATGGAGATCACCCTTAACCTTCCAATTAAAGAATGGTACAGGAACAGCTCAAGCAATGATTTGAGCTATTGGGGACTTGACTACCCGCCTCTTACTGCTTACCAGAGCTACATTCATGGGCTTTTCCTCAGATTCTTCCACCCTGATTCTGTTTCCCTTTTCACTTCCAGAGGTCACGAGTCCTATCTTGGGTGTGCACTTTACTCATTTTCCATTCGTAATTTAACATATTCTGTGAACAGTGAAATGGTATTTTAGTGACAATTCAAATCATGCATACTATTCAGTATTTGAATTATTCAAATTTGTTTGTTAGCCTTTCTACTGAAACAAATTTAAACTACTTAAGGACTTTCTTTATATAATTTAAATCAATGAGTGAATTATGAGGGAGGTACATTTTCATGGACCAGAACGATGGTTTATCCATTTAGGATCCTATGAATGGCTACTCAATTTTCACTTTCAATTTTGTTGATGAATAGTGATTATTTTAACTTTGCTACTATTATTACTGTTTTTAACTGTGGTTTACTTCTGCAGAAAACTACTCATGAGGTGGACAGTGTTATCATCTGATGCCCTGATATTCTTTCCAGCTGTCCTGTACTTTGTTATTGTTCATTACAATCAACCTTCGAGGAGCAATAAAAGTGACTTAGCCTGGCACATTGCCATGCTTTTGCTAAATCCATGTTTGATCTTAATTGATCATGGTCATTTTCAGGTTTCACTAGAAAATTCTTATGTTCTATGCCTGTTATTCTTGACTTATTTTCAGTGGGAGGTCTGGTAGTGCCTTAATTTTTGAATCTTTCATTTTAATGTATTTCAGTACAACTGCATCAGCTTGGGCCTTACTGTTGGAGCTGTTGCTGCTATCCTCTCTGGGAAAGATCTTTTTGCTTCTGTTCTTTATTGTCTAGCTCTAAATCATAAACAGGTTAATCTCCTTCATCATTGCATGTTCTATTTTCATTTGTTTTGTTACTTCCAGCTATTTTTACATGATCTATGTTTTCATATACAATTACTCAACCCTACCCAAGAGGAGATATTATTCTAATTTTCTATATGAGCTAATATTGTTTAGGTATGCTTTTTCCTCTTAAAGGCATTTTATCATTTTCGTTTGCCAGGTGCTTCATTCATTTACAGGTATTATCTGTTATGTTGGTGTTAAGTCAGGAAACAATTGGTTGGATCCTGTAGATAATTTTTACCTTTTTCTTGGTTGATTCTTATAAGCTATTGATTAATTTGCATGTCCCAAATTGAATCATGATATACTTATTAGCCTATATATCTTATGGAATCAATTTAGTGACTTTATGACTTTGTTTTTGTCTTGTGTGGATTACAGTGAATAATTGAATTTAAATTTTTTAGTTGTGTTGTTGATTATGATCTTTAGTTAACTGAACTGTATAGGTGCCAGGACAATAACAAATGGAAGTAGTGGACTAAGTAGCCATGTCAGTGGATAGACTAAGGACATCATGAACTACATCTGAAATAATAATTACATGCAGTCTCTTTTTTTAATTTTACTTTCCTTCAAGGAATATAACTATTTTATGAATTTTTTTTCCAGATGAGTGCATATTTTGCACCTGCTTTCTTCGGCCATCTCTTGGGTAAATGCCTGAGGCGTAAACATCCAATCCTTGAGGTGTCAAAACTGGGATTTGTTGTTTTAGGAACCTTTGTGTCTGTGTGGTGGCCTTATCTGCATTCAACGCATTCTATTTTGGAGGTAATATTGCTGTTTTTGCCCATTACAAATTGCATTTCTATTCTAAACTTTTCATTGTTTTATATTATTCTTACATGGAAACTGTTAATATTACCTTTACTATTGTGCTTCCCTTGAAAAAAGTGGTTTCAGAAATTTTGTTTTTTAATTTTCATTTGGTTGTCTAGAAATATATATGATTTTGCTGCCTTTTGCTTATGTTATTGATCTCACTTGTGTGATATCCAGCTTGGGCTACTAAAATGCCTCATGTTTGGGATTTATCTCGAAGGCTACTGTAAATTGATTTGTATCTTTAGTGATAGAAAGCTTTGTGGAGAAATTGGACAATGTATCGAAATGCAAGAAATAATGTAATAATGCTGAAAATTGGACAAAGAATCGGAATGCAAGAAATGAGAGTAGAAAAGCAGTGAGTGAAGCATGTTTTAAGGCTTTTGAAGGGTTCTATCAAGTCTTGGGACTAAGTATGATGAAAGGAGGATTATAAACTTGCCAAAAGTAGAGAAAGAAAATATAGAGATTTGGATTAAGTTAGATGTATTAAGGATTAAGAAGGAAAAATTTTGGTTTTGGATCAGGACATCAACAACAAATGGGAGAAATATTTCTATAAAGTTTTTAATGAATGATAAGGAGCAAATGAAAATTTAGCAGCATTAGAAGTGTGAGCAAATGATCTAAATTTGACATATTACTATAGGATTAGAGTTGGAGAAGTAAAAGAAGCTATTAAGAGGATGGAGAATGATAAAGCGGTTGACTTCGATAATATCCCTATAGAAGTTTGGAGAAACAAGGACTGGAGTGGCTCACTAAGCTTTCTAACAAGAGTTTTAGATCTAAGAATATATCAAATGAATGGAGGAAGAATACTTTGGTTCCAATATATAAGAACAAGGGTAATATTTAAAATTATGCAAATTATAGAGGGATTAAACTTATGAGTCACACTATAAAGTTGTGGAAAAAAGTGATTGAACATAGAATACTGGAGGAAATTGAGATTGTGAAAAATCAATTTAGTTTTATACTAAGAAGGTTTACAACATAAGTTATATATCTTTTATGAAAGATGATAAAAAAACATCTCTAAAAAGAAAAAGATTTACATATGGTTTTTACTGACTTGGAAAATACATATGATCGAGTATTAAGAGAAGTGTTATAGAAGACTTTAAAAAAGAAAGATATTCATGTATCATATTCGGGGGCTAGAATACAGTTTTGGTTCTTGTAAATGTAACACGTTTTGTGGTCTTTATAAAATTGTTAGAATTTAGTTCCTGAAATGTTAAGTAGGTCGGATTTAGTCTTTGTCATTAACTTCTCTTCTGTTAAGTGCTGATTGACGGATAGAGAGTCAGCTCATCACTGCCATGAATTATTACATCATTTAATTTTTTAATATTTTATTATTTAAAACTATGCTTAAATATAATTTTGATTCTTATAAATATAACACATTTTACGATAAATCTTTATAAAATGTTTTTGTTAAAATTTAGTTCTTACTGTTAACCTTTCTTCTGTGAAGTATTGAGCTGATTGATAGAGAGCTAACTCCACACTTTTACGTTACTGTCCTGTCAGTTAATTTTTTAAATATGTTATTATTTAAAATTAATAGTTGCAAATAAGTTCCTGAATATATTTTATATATTTGCAAAAAAGTCCTCCTTCAACCTCTCTCAAAATCCCAATTTCTCCCAAACCAAAAAATCCTAACCCTCACAAAAAATACACAGTTAAAGCTAAGCATCATAGCAAGAGTATTACCAATAGGAGCTTGAAATACATGCTCAAATTCTGCATTCATAACCTGAAACTCATTTGGGACCATGATTTAGATGGCAATGACATCTCTGTGATCCAGTTCAATACTTGATAGAAGGGAGGTTGGTAGCATGAACTAAATCCTAACATCTTAACATTTTAGGGACAAAATCCTAATAAAAAACTTTATAAGAACTTATTACAAAATGTGTTATATTTATAGGGAACAAAATTGTATTTAAGCCTAATTTTAAGTAATAAAATATTAAAAAATTAAATTATGTGGCAATATGTTGCAGCAACATAATGGTAATGAATTGATTCTTTGTCAGTTAGCTCAGCACTTAATAAGATAGCTCAACACTTAATAAGAGAGTTGAAAGCAGAGACTAAATCCTGACAAATAACTTTATTAGTACTTATCACAAAAATGTGCTATATTTATAAGGATTAAAACTGTATTTAAGCCTATATTATGTATGAGAGAGCATCTACATGTGTGAGAACTTCTCGAGGCGTATCTAAGGATTTGACAATAGGAATAAGTTTATATCAAGGCTCTGCTTTGAGCCTTTACTTGTTCAAGCTAGTCTTAGATGTACTTACAAATGACATACAAAATATATCCTTTAGTGCATGCTGTCTGCAGATGATATAGTGTTAGTTGAAAATTTGAAAGAAGTTAATGCTAAACTTGAGTTATGGAGGTAGCCTTTCGAATCTAAGGGTGTTCATTTAAGTAGAAGTAAGACAAAGTATATGTATTATAGGTTTTACAAAAAAACAAGATGAGGATCATGTGTCAGAAATTAAAATTGGAGATGATATGTTTCAAGTTTTCAGTTTTAAGTACTTGGGATTGATTATATAAAATGATGAGAAAATTAATGAAGATATTACTCATTGAATACAAGTTGGGTGATTAAAGTAGAAAAAAGTATTAGGAGCTATTTGTGACCATAAAGTACCTATCAAGTTAAAAGGAACATCTTGTGTATTTTGCTGTTATCTACTTTTTTATATTGAACAGATAAGGGAGCCCATGAAATTGGTTCTATTTGCACTTGGGAGTGATGTTCTTTTGTTATAGATGAGTTTATGTAAAATCTAGATTGTTTATAGAAATTATGTTATTGCATTGATGTTTAATTGCCAACGAAATATTTGGCTGTATCTTGCATGTTAAGTTCATGTTTAAAGCACTTAGTAAAAGTGCTAGGTATGGCAACCAACTTATTAAGTTCAAGTTTAATTGGTTTCTGTTGGTAATGTCACTTTATGAATTATGGGTGGGTTTCATAGATTGTGGATGCAATTATTCTTGCTGTTGCTTCTTGAGGGAGTGTAGATATTGCTTTGGATTACCTAACTACGTGAAAGAAAGCATGAAATTGAAAGTGAAAATTTCTTTAATCAAGGTAGATGTTGATAGTTAGGAATGAAATTAAATTTGAGTTAAAACTTGCAATTGTTGGAATTTTTTGGCCCATAGGGCCCTGACCCTAACCCTGGCCTATGGGCTTTTTGGCCCATAGGGTTTTTGGCACTAACCTACATGGGCTAGGGTTAGAGCTGGGCCAATTGAACTTTTTGACAGCTCTACATAAGAGCCTACTATATGACGGTAAGAAGGGATGCTTATATGCATTTTGGAACAAGAAAGAAGCATGCATATGTTATTAGGTGAATTTTCAAATAAAGAAGCAGATTCATGAAATTTATAGATCATGATCTCAACACTCAACAGTCAACCCTCAAATGCATAGCTCATACAAGGCTATGTTTCCAATGTTGTGTAGGGTGTTATAGGAGTTTGGAAGCTTACTACTCATCTCTTTTGTTTGGAATATGCTAGATGGTTATCAATACAGTTGTTTGATGGGCACTGGATTTGTCATCACACCTGTGATTTTCTTCTCTTCTGAATATTGTAATTTTGGGAAAATGAAATGAATGTGTTCTGGTGGTGCGCACTATCTTTTTGGGCTCGAGGCTTATTTGGTTGGAGCAAAATGCTAGTATTCTCAGCAACTGGTCTTTGGATGTGAATTTTATTTGTGATAGGATTCAGGTGATACTTTTTCCTGCTTCCTTGTGGGTTTATGCTCATGCTTCTTTTAAAGTGGTGTCTATATTGGTTATACACAATTATTTAATAGCTTCTTTGAGTTGTTATCATCATCATCATTATTATTTATCTTTCAGTACTGTTAGGAGAATTCTTGATCTTCCTGCTCTGTATTTCTCTTATGTTGCTGTAATTGATGTATGTGGATAAAGTGATACTTTAAACATTATTATCCAGTATGCTTGAAAATTAAATAATGTTGTCTGTTTCCATCGTTGCATACCAAATTTACTATAGGAAAAATTCAACCACTTACTACAGGATTAAAGCTATAATTTTATTTGAACAAATTATTCACTTTAGTGAAAGATTCATTATCATTCTTGAATTACCAGGCATGCTTACCGATTTTCATTGTTACCTATTTTCCAAAATTAAAACTGTTCTGTTGCTTTACTAGTTTGTGAAAGTTCCGCTAATATAGGCTACAGTTTGGAGAATATCAAGCAAGATTACAAATTACTCTTAGCTAAAGGCAATTGGTCTAAGTCTACATTAGGCATATTAATATAAACATGGCAGTAGTATAAGTTTAATCCAAGCTGTTGATTGAGACATTTGATCCTTTTAAGGACCTTTATTATTTGCATGTGGCACTTGTGACAGGTCCTCTCTCGTCTTGCTCCTTTTGAAAGGGGAATATTTGAGGATTATGTGGCCAACTTTTGGTGTGCCTCTTCTGTTCTTATCAAGTGGAAAAGATTGTTTACAACAGAGTCATTGAAGCTTCTCAGCTTCATTATAACAGTTATAACATGTCTTCCTTCAATGGTTCAACAAATAAAGTCTCCTAGCAATCGAGGTTTCCTATATGGGCTGCTGAATAGTTCTTTCTCATTTTACTTGTTTTCATTTCAAGGTTGGTAGTATTTTGTTTCTTTCACATTTCAGAATTGTGATAATTTTGTTAAGAACAATCTTATGAGAACTTATCCGTGCTCCTTTTTGCCCTTTCAGTGCATGAGAAGTCTATTTTGCTGCCACTTCTTCCAGCAACCCTGCTGGCTGTTGAAGAGCCTTTTATTTTTAGGTGGTTCATGCAATTTGCCATGCTCTCCATGTTTCCTTTGATATGTCGCGACAACTTGGTTGTTCCATATTTGGCTTTACTTGCTTTCTTTATCCTGATACTCAATGCCCCTGGTCAACACGGAATTAGAGAGAGTAATTATTTTTATAAGTATTTGGGCTCAACAACTATGCACCTTATTTTATTTTGCTCTTTTATTCTTCATGTAGTTTACTTGACCATGCATCCTCCTGAGAAGTATCCTTTCCTTTTTGAAGCAGTAATTATGAATCTATGCTTCTCTCAGTTTGTGCTTGTAACTCTTGGCTGCAATATAAAGCAGTGGATGTTAAATAAACCCGTGAAATTAGAAGAAAGAGAAAAGAAGCTCATTTGACATTGGTTTTACTTTTTAAGTTAGATGGGTTGTTCATGTTAGACAGTTGGCTGTGGAGGTGGCATGTTTGATGCATTTCAACAATGGTTTATAGAATGTGAGTTCAGAACTTGGCCTGCATTGACCTTAACTGTAATGATTTTATAATCTTTAGTCTTCAGTGTTTGCTGCCCTCCTTGATTGTTCTTTTTCCGTGTCTATATTTAATCAGATTTTATTGGTACTACAGAAAAACCTTTTATATGTCCTTCACCCTACCAGTAGTCTATTGATAAGCATGCGCAAGCAAGCTGGACTATCTGCTCTAATGTATTCTTTATTGCAGGCTGTTAGAGATTACGATTTTTTAAATCTGCAAAAGAGAAAGTAAATTCAATAAGAATTCATAGACAACTCCAAATCAATATTTTAATTATAATTCAAATCCTAAAGAGAATGGAAAGCGAAAATTTTCTCTGCTCATTTTATAGTTTTGTAACAAATTTGGGTTTCGTTTTACAAATAAAATCTCAGTATTTTTCTAATGTAATAATGTGTTTTTTTTTTTTTCATTTTATCAAATTAATTTATTATTTTTCTTCAAGTAACTATTTAATTATAAGGATTTACTTTTCTTTAATTTTAAGTAATATTTAATTTTTTTAATCCACATTAGACTTATTCAGGTAATTTTAAATAACTGTGAAAATAAATATTTATCTATTAAATTAATTTTATTTTATTTTAACTAAAAACTTCAAATGTTTTTATTTTTAATTTTAATTCAATTTTTTATTGCTATTAAATAATTTTTTATCAATTGAATTAATTTTAAGATATTATAGTTTATATTTTTTATATTTTACACAGTTACAAATACTCATAATACTATAATAGACAAAATACATTTGAGTAATTTTTTATGCGAATTTCGCTCTTGTATGAAGCATGCTTGTGGTTTTAAAACTAGCAATCATTTCCTGTGTTTCACAAATAATTTCAATTTAAAAAATGAAAATTGAAATAAATACAATATATTATGAGAAAAAGAATATAAATAGTACAAATTTAGGACAAATAAGAAAAATTAAAGGAAATGATTTAAATGTATAAATAATTAAGACTTGGAATGAAAAAATGACAACATTCAATAACCAAGAAAAGATTAGAAAGAGGTATATGATCTATCTAATCCAAAAAGTGGAAGTAACAATTAACTTGAGACAACTATGCCCCATCAGTTTATGCAATGTCTCATACTAGCCCCTTACTAAATTTCTTGCAACTAGAATGAGAGATCACATGAAAAAATTAGTAAGTTTCAGTTAGTGTAGCTTCTTTCTTGAGAGGGACAATAGTGATAATATAATTATAGTTCAAGAAGTGATTCACTCAATGTGGCACAAAAAAGGCTTAAAGGATGGATTGGTATAAAAATTGACTTTCACAAGACATATGTTAAACTACAGTGAAAGTATGTTAGGGACACATTTTACGAGAGCAGGTTTTTCAACAACTTTATCGATGTGGTTTGGAACTGTATATCCTCCCCTAACATGTGCTTAGTGAGTCCTCAAGTTTCCCAACAGATTTTCATCATGAAGACATCATTCATTTGTTTGACAGACCTTATTCCAAGCCCACCACAATCCTTGGCTTGTAGATATTTTGCAATGTTAGCATATGGACCTTCTTTACTACTCCTGATTCTCTTCAAACAAAATTTCTACAATTTTTGTACAACTCAGCACAAAAGGATGTCGACCAGAAAGTAGTTTACATAACATAGCTAAGAAGTGCAAATAATACTAACTTTGTCAGAGTTCCACCTATGTTAAAGGCAATGTTCTAGCTTTCCAAGAATTTAACCTTTTGATTAGCCCTTTTTTAGAATGTATTGAAAAGTTTGTCCACTAGTTCTTTTGTGACAAAGGGACATTCCTGATATTTTTCTAGATTATCTATATTTTGAAATCCTAATTCAGGGCTGATCTATTATTGCATGTTATGATTGATATTATTGGAAAAAGAATATTCTAGTCTTGTCTTTGTTGATCTTCTAACTTGAGCTAGTACTAAAAAATCTAAACATGTTAGCATAATTTTATCTTGATCCAAATTTGCTTATGCAAAAAGGATTAAGTTATCAACAAAGGATAATTGGAAGATTTACTGCCTTTGTTGAATTGGTTTCTAAAATTAATTAAATGAAAATAGACAATCTATGCATGTGACAAATAAATAAGGAGATATGAGTTTTTCCTGTTTGATCTACTAAAAGTTTTATTTGAGAGCTTGAAGAAAGTGAAAAAGAAAGTATTTAAAAGGTAAAGGAAGAGAAAGAAAGAGAATTAATACAAAATTCTCTAAATTGAAAAAATTTAAAAACATATAATAAGGAAAGTTTATAAATCTTCCTCCTCTTATATAAATTTTTTTAAACAAAAAATTACATTATATAAATCTTCTCCTTACCTCTTTTTTCTTCTTAAAAATCAACTCCTAGATAATGCTTAAATGGTGAAAATGATTCAAGGACTTTCCCGTTCTATATAAGCACATGTTAAGGGAGGAAATACAATGCCAAACCACATCCATGGAGTTATCAAGAAATTTGATCTGTTAAACAATGTCCATAACAAATTTCCATCATAATCTATCGTAATCTCAAGATCAATCTTTATAACTAACCGTCCTTTGTAGCCTCTTTTGTCCCACATTGACTGAATTGCTTCTTGATTTATAATTATATTATCACTAGTGTTTCTTTTCCCCTAAGGAACGAAGCTATGCGTGAGACTGACTAAATTTTTCATGTGATCTCTCAATCTAGTTACAAGTACTATAGTAAGGACCTTGGGTGAGACATTGCATAAAATGATGGGGGTGTAGTTGTTGCAAGGTAATTGTGGGTTCCACTTTTAAGATTAGGCAAATCATAGTATCATTTACCTCTTTAATCTCTCTTTAATCTTTGTGGGTTGTTGTTGAATACTTGTCTTACCAGATTGCATAGAGATGATCCCACAAATAAGGCCATTGAATTTGGTTAAAGATGGGTTATATTAGAGTCAATAAAATTAAGCTAGCCACTTGGGCCATTAGAATTAGGAGGACTCAAATAATTTTGAGTTTTTTTTTTATTGTATGAGAAGAAAACGTGCAAATAAAATATGATATGAGTTAGATGCGAGTTGACTCATAAAACTGGCTCTTGCATTTTTAATTTTTTAACGCATTGTTCTTTTATTTAATTTAATGATCCAAAAAGATAATGGCATATGGAATAAACTGTGTGAACATGCATTATTGAAATGGAGTAATCATAATGTTATGGTTATTATTATTAAGAAGAGTTGGCAGCAGCAGTGTCTAGCCAGCAGAATCAACCCATAGAGATGGCTTCACCACAACAAAGCTGCGCCACTTCCACCCAATCACTGCCACTTCAAGACCGAGTTGCAATCGTCACTGGCTCGTCCCGCGGAATCGGTCGAGAAGTCGCTCTCCATCTGAGTTCACTCGGCGCCCGACTCGTCATCAATTATTCCTCTTCCAACTCGCTCCGCGCCGACTCACTCGCCGCCGATATTAACGCCGCCTCCTCCGCCACCCTCCCACGCGCCATCGCATTACGCGCCGACATCTCCGACCCTGTCCAGGTCCAATCCCTCTTCGACTCGGCCGAGCGAGCCTTCGACTCACCGGTTCACATCCTGGTCAACTCAGCCGGAACCCTCGACAGCACTTATCCCACCATCGCCAACACCTCCGTCGACAGTTTCGACCGCGTCTTCGCCGTGAACGCGCGCGGCGCGTTCCTCTGTGCGCGTGAGGCTGCGAACCGCGTTAAGCGCGGCGGCGGAGGGAGAATCATTCTGTTCTCGTCGTCGCAGGTGGCGGCACTCAAGCCGGGCTTCGGCGCGTACACGGCGGCGAAGGCGGCGGTGGAGGCGATGACGAAGATTCTGGCGAAGGAGCTAAAGGGGACAGGAATTACGGCAAATTGCGTGGCACCGGGGCCAATCGCGACGGAACTGTTCTTCGGCGGGAGGACGGAGGAGCAGGTGAAGAAGATCGTCGACGAGTCACCGTTGGGGCGACTTGGCGAGACGAAGGATGTTGCTCCTCTGGTAGGGTTTTTGGCTTCTGATGCTGGTGAATGGGTCAATGGTCAAATTATTCGTGTTAATGGTGGTTATGTTTAGCGTTCTAATTGCAAATTATGTGCATTCTTGACGTTGATCAATTGCAATTGCATTGCATTTATAAATGATTTTGTGAATTGTCATAAATTGCTGTTAAATTCAGTTGTTGTAACTTGTGATTGTGATATCCCACTACTAGTATCCTGATTTCTGAATCTGAGAAATATCATGTTACAAGTTTACATATTGTTTTGTAAAATTGTAATTAGGACTTTATAGGAAGCCTAGCTTATTTGGCAGAGTATTTCTGTTGTGAATACAGTGTATATAAACCCAAAATAGCTTCAACTTTGCATGCTAAGTAGTCAGTTTCTGATTGGTCTCTTTTGGTTAATAAAGAAATTGTTGGTACTCTTATAGCAAGGAATTTTTTCTTGTTCCATATCCTTACGTATACTAGTCCTCCATTATAATATTAGAATGAAGTTCTAATAAGAGACTGTGATAACCATGTAGCTGAATCAGCTTACAATAAATGGTATGTATTTTGATAAATTTATGGTCTGACAACACTTGGCAGTATGCTCAGAGCTGCCAACCTGTTTATTCCTTTTAAAAATACCTCCTACCTATACGTCTATATTAGAATTTTCCATATTCAATTTTATCGTATGATTCAACAGAGATTTTAGACACAGTATCATCAATTGGTCTATTGTCACAGTGTCATTGAAGAAAGGGGGAATTAAGAAACCTGCAGAAATTATAACAGAAGCATATTTTTGCAGCACGCTGGATTGTATACTTTCGATCTGGATACAATTTTATTTTGAAGCTGTTACTTTTTCAGCTGTCCGGCTGTACCCAGTTTATTGATGACTGTTCTTCAGTGGTCAGTGGCAGAGAGCGTATAAATACTAGTGATAGTTATATTACCACACAGTAGTGATGACTAATGCAATACAATAATTCATCTGGTTTTATTGACTTTCTGCGTCATGCTTTAAAGGAGTTTACCTGTTTTACATTTCTTGGATAACTGTATGAATGAATTCTGATTCTTAGGATAAGAAATTAGATGTAGGCACACACGAAAGTAGTCAAAGTTGAAGACTCGCTATCTAGTTGCTAGCTATAAAATTCTGACCCTCAAAACTTTTGCAACACAATTATCTTTTTTTCTTTTGATAGATGTCAAGTGCATTGTTATGAACACACTATTATAGCAGTGGAGTTCCATTGCTCGGTAAGAAACTTACCCTACCATTTTTTTTAGTACTTGGTTGTTTTGCACATTATAGTTAATTTTAGCATTATGAGATATATTAGAAAATGGTTGGTATAGTTTTTTGTTCCTTTTCCAAAACTTGATTACGACATATCGAGCATAATCTTACCAAGCAGCATTGGAGCGCGTCACTCGTAGTGTTATAGATCACATGAATTGCAGACTTATAAAGACCAATTATGGCACAAAACCAGGTTATTCAGAAGTTAGTTGGGACATTGAAGGAGCTGGCATCATTATTCAGGATATACAAAAATTGGGTTAATATCTAATTATAAATCATGAAGAAATCTTTACAACATAGGTCTAGCATAGTGTGCACAATTATTTACGAAATGTCAAAAGTTCAACCCTTTCAATTAATTGTGGTTTATATAGCTGTATAAGTTTTAAAATAAAAGAGACAATAACAATCTTCGTGGTGTACATGATAATATATAAGTTATGAAAGTTGAATACAATCATAATAGGATAAGAATAGAATGATTCATATATCTTACATTTGATATACTCAAAGACAACTAATTAACATCATTATATTATCATGTTTATTTTAACGCGATAGGATAAAATTTACACTAGATAAAGAGATAGAATAAATTTTTCATATTCTATTTGTTAAATAAATGTTAGAAATAAGATAAATTAAAACAATATTATATAATATTCTCTTATCCCATTATCTATACCGAGTTCGTTGTCCACCTATGGTTGTGCAGGGTTTAGGCCAACAAATCACTAAGAAAATAGATACTTTGTTTTTTGTCCAATAGAGATACATTTAATCTTTTTATTTTTGTCAATAATGGTAGAATTAAGTTTTGAATAGCCCAGTGACACTTACAAGCATTGAAATTAAAACTTACATGAGATATTAGAGAACTGAAATCTCTACAAAGAATGATATAATAATGCTTCAAAAAATAACTATAAAAGTGCACAACATGCTTACTCAAAATCATAAAAAATATATACATAAAAGACCTTGATAGCTTCAAATTAGTTAAATATTCTCTACTTGTTGTAATGAAGCCTCATGCAACTAGAGAAAATAAACCCATTCTTTTGCTTTTTCTTCATTTGCTATCTTTTGTTTTTTCCACGCTATGTTGTTGTAATGGGCTTTACTAGTACTGTAACCATGCTTCAAAAATCATTAAAAACACTTGAGATAGTTTTAGCCATTAGAAGTAGAGGATGATGATGTTGACTAGCTTCAAACAAGAGAAGAAAAGGCTAATAAAGTTAAAGAGATAGTAGTAGGTAAATAAATATTGAAAGAAAGGAGGAAAAGAAGAAAAGAAAGAACCAAAAATAAGGAGAGGAAGGGAAAAAAAAAAAAAAACTCTTACTAAAGAGAAAGGAAAGCTCACAATAATAGAAAGAAAATTTCATAAAAAAAAAGTTTAACGATAACTATTTAAATAATTGGTTGACAATAAATAAATGTTTAACTAATTGATTGTAAATAAAAATATTTAATTTAATTAATTTGTTGGTAATACATAAATGAACAAGTAAAATGAGTGATATTTAATTCTAACATTACACTAGTATAAATTGTATATTTTTTTAAAGTTATTTAACAAATCTAAACTATTTTATAGTTAATTACATTAAATAACTAATTTTGATTATAGTGAACTATTTTAAAGATAGAATATGTTGTGTTTTTATCAAAATTTACAAGCAATAATAAGATAAACAATATAATATTTTAACAGAATTAATTTTTTATATATAAAATAAGACTTATTTAAATCATTTTTATAAGTTAAGGGACCAAATCAGAAAAAAAAGTTAAAAGACCAAACCAAAATAAAATTGAGTTAAAAGACTTAATAAAATTAAGACCATGCATCCCACCAAATTTCTTAAAGTTATAAGGAAACACTCCAACTCCAATCCAAAAGATGTGTAAAAGTATGATGAAATATCTTTTTATATTATATTTAGTGTAGTTTAAAACTTTAAAATAAAATTAAGTAGAACTAGATATCTAAACAAATTGACTTTACTAAGAAAAATAAAACTTAAAAAAAACATATTAGAAAAATATGTTTCATTTAATTTTGTGCATGCATCAAATGGACACATCAGTTGGATAAATTGTTTTAAGGGTTTTCTTTTTGGCTAAAAATCTTTTGTTAGATTTTTAATATAATGTTATTAAGTTTTTAAATGCAATATTAATGTGGAAAAAAAATTTCTTTTTAAAGGTGGTTTTCAGCAATAATAGTGTTAAGAAAAAATGAATGATAGATGAAATAATTTAAGAATCTAACGGATCAAAATGAAGGAAAAATATATACCACATTATATATAATAATATTATTTTTGCCATATTATCAATCATACTTAACATGATACTTTAACATTCTAATGCTACAGTAGATGGTTGAAAGGACTAAATTAACAGAGTCAAAGATAAATATTAAGAATGATCAACGATGTAATAATTTTAAGGATTAAATTAAAGATTTTCTTTAAACTTAAATAAGTTTGACTTTTTTTTAAAAGAAAACAATCACTAATTTTTTTGAAGTATTCTTTAAATTTTTTAAAAAGTGAGCAATTGTTTCCATAAATTGTATACCTCCAATTTTTGTTTTGAAATCATTAAAAATCCTAGTAATTCTACATTCTTCTAATATATAACTTTAAAGGGCATATTAGTCAATCTAATAAGGTTACACACCCATCAAAGGATATTTCAAATTATGTTTTGAAAAACACAAAATGCTACTTTGTATCGCTTAATATTCGTAAGAATCTTACAAACGATGTGATGTTTAATACTCACAGGCATGTAGAACGTAGGTCATTGTGAGTGCAAATCATTGGTGTCTTTCTTCTTATCGATCCTGTTCTTGCTCCCTTACCATCATCACTCCGCATCCTTCAATATGTGATTTGTGGGTTTCCTGATAAATTTATATAATAAAGATTTTTAATATAAGTATACAATAATAGAAATTATGGTATGTTCTCGGAAATAAATTTTATAGAGGGTGTAAGACGCGTGTAGTTGAAAAGAGAGAAGTTATTGCACATTTTCAACATAGAAATGTATAATGTATTGATACAAAAGCAAATGAAGTTTGTAGAGTTTTGGAATTATAATATCACATATATGTTGAAATAATAGTCATTGTATGGTTAATTCTGTATTATCAATCAAGCGTGATAATGTATAGAAAGTAATAAGCTATTAGAAAAAAAAGAAAAAAAACCAGTTTACACCATAACCAATCTAAAATGTGACTTTTTTTTACCACTTTATCCTTGAAATGATGTAGAATATAACTTTCTAAATCAGTTATGTTATAATTGATATAAAAACTATAATTTAGATGGGCTCAATTCATAATCTAAAATTCCTACACTTTCTACATATTTTGTAAGTAAAACTAATGTACAATAGCTAAATTATAGTATAACCAATGTAGAAAATTAGAAAATCATCATTTACTATATCAGCTATCATTTAATTGATGTAAAATATTGTAATTTATTATATCAATTATATTTAAATTGCTTTAACTTAGAATGTCATTTTTAATTGATGTAAAAAGTGGTTTCATCACTAGTGCCAACTACCATTGTTATTGCTTGTTTAGCTCTCTATTTCCTTTTCTCCTTTTTTATTCAAGATCCATTCTTTGTTTTAATCAATTCTGTTAACATCATTTATAAATATCCTAAGCTTATTTTAATTTGATAGACACATATGTTTCCAATTTAGATTTTACTTTCATATGAGCTTTAAGTCGCCAATTTAATAATTATGTATGCTTGTAGTTTAGTTTTTATACATATTAATTATTTTACTTTTGAATTTTTCATTTTATAGTTTATTAATGTATATTAAATTTATAAAACATAATTATTTTTTATTGAACCTAATAAACTAGTTAGTTAATTTTATAAAAAGAAAGAAAGAAAGAAAGAAGGATTACAATGTATGACACTTAAATATCATAAAATATATGCATGAGAAGTTTAAGTGTATAGATATCTTAAATTTCAATATATATATATATTGAAATGCATATCAAGCCTCTTAATTTTAGTTGAGCATTACTATCTTAAAGAAATATTGTAATTACAAATATTGGGACTTGATACAT